ATCAATGGTATCGAATGCAGCCGAAAGGTCCAAAAGAGTAAGAAGACATACCTTTTTTTTCATCAATATATTTTAAAATATCAGTACAGAAATGTGCTTCTATTTGTTTGTTTGTTTGTTAGTTAGTTTGTTTGTGTCCTGTTGTTTTTTTGTTGTTTTTTTTGGTGGCAAAAGTGAACATCATAATCTCACCTGCTCGACTGAAGTATTAAACAACAGGGGATATATTGTGTGTCTGTGTATGTGCGAGTATTTTAGTGCGTGTTTAGTACTAGTTAAAATAAAAACAGTAACCATCCATCTATATACTATCATACATACTGACAGAAATACACACACACACACACACACACACACACACACACACACACACACACACACACACACACACACACACACATATGCACCATGCACAAACATCATACACATAGATAGATAGATAGATAGATAGATAGATAGATAGATAGATAGATAGATAGATAGATAGATAGATAGATAGATAGATAGATAGATAGATAGATAGATAGATAGATAGATAGATAGATAGATAGATAGATAGATAGATAGATAGATAGATAGATAGATAGATAGGCAGATAGATAGATAGACAGAAGGCAGCATCAGAGATGCAGTAAAAAAGAGAAGAGTCGACCCGTGCGCAGTCAAAAGAATAAATCAGGTCACAGTCCAATCGATCGGGCACGTGATAGTGACGATGGAGAGCAAATTGCAAAATCACAAAAGTGAATGAATATTGAACACATGCGTACGTCTCTCTCTCTCTCTCTCTCTGAGAGAGAGAGAGAGAGAGAGAGAGAGAGAGAGAGAGAGAGAGAGAGAGAGATGAACTAATTAAATTTAGTTCAATAAGTTTTACGGTGCTCGCAACTACGTAGGGTCATATGAGAGCGCTGGAATGAAAGGAACTAGATCTACAACTGAGCTTGTAAGCTACAAATGACCACTCCCCCACTCGTGTTTGTTGTATCATGACGACACTGCCCAAAAAGACCACCTGTCAAAGATGACCGCTTTCCTCCTCGACCATGGGAGAACGTCAACGCTTACTTTATTACACGTGTTGGAGTAGGCGTTGGCGGACGTCTTCAGGGACCTGGACTGTTGAGTGAATAATAAATAGTCCGCCCGTGCCATGCTTATTGGGTTGTTGGGGTTTTTTTTTTGGGGGGGGGGTTTGTTTGTTTGTTTTTGTTTTGTTTGTTTCTTTCAGGCCATGGAAGCGTAAATTAATGAAGATGTGATAAACAGTGCAGACCTTTTTTCTTTAGCTGTGATCCCCCCCCCCCTGCCCCCCCCCCTTTTCACACCCAAAGATTGTAACATAATATAAAATAATATATATTATAATTTCTAATACCTCTTAGTCGGCAGTGCAATCATGTTCGCGCACATACAACAGCTGACGTAATTATGCGCACTTCCTACCTCTGGTACCCGTGCCTTCTTTTCCAGTAATGACAACAAAGGGAGCCCATCCTTCTAAAAACAGCTCCGCCGCGTGCACAGCTGATCGGGGGTCGTCATTTCCTAATACAACCATCACATCACTCTGTGTATGAATGAGAGAAGTAAGAAAGAAAGGTTAATTAATGCTTTCTTAATAGGTTCTATCACTCGAACATAAAACATGTCATGCGCGAGTAACCCAAACAGCTGACAACGCGAAATGAACTGATCCCTTAATGGGAGCAATAATAACTTTGTTTTGTTTTAGTAGAGGTTTTACGGCGCTCGCAACTGCATAAGGTCATATGAGCGCCAGAAGATTAGAGGTGTTATAAGAGAGTAACAAACATCAAAAAGAAGAAGGAGAGATAAGGACGACAGATGTTTGATAGGAAAGAAGGAGCAAACCACACCAGAGCACCCGCCAACCACCCACAATAATAACTTTAAAAAACAACAACGTTGAGGACTAGATAAGTGCGTATAATTTTCCTAATAAATACAGACGAATCTCTCTTAATGGAAACCTCTCTAAGACGGAAACATGTCAGAACGGAATCTCCCCGGCTTCCCCTCGATAAATTCCCCTATAATTAAGCCTCTAAGACAGACTAAGAAATAGAAACCTGCTCAACCTGAAAACGGAAAGAGAAATTCCTTCACCTCGGAAGTTTTCACCTGTCCCTAAGACGGAAAATGCTCTTCCCGCTCAGCCCTGGTTTGAAACAAAACTTCAAATTTTAATTTTGGTTCCATAATAGCTCTAACTCTAACGCCATGCGAAAAGGAAGCGGGTGGGATGGGGGGGGGGGGGGGGGTGATGCAACTTGTTGAGGTAGCTTGGCACAAGTAAGTCCCTTGATGTTACCTATGCCTACTGTGCTATTATAGTGCTATATAGTAGACAGTAGGCATCGGTGTTACACACTACCTTCTGTTATCCCATCAAGGACATTTTAGAATTTAAAATAACCCTCTTAAGGGGGGCGGGGGGGGGGGGGCTACACCTGAAGGCTATCTCGCTTATTACTGAACCGAATTTGACCAAATTTCACACTTAAAACAAGCATAGTAAGGAGTCTTAAAATCCGCAATCAAATTTGACAAAAAGTTTCATTTCCATGGATACATCGGTCATATTGGATTTTGTTGACATGTCTTACGTAATGAATACCGCACTTATCGCTCATGGAAATTAATTGTTTTTTTGCAGGCGTGTTAACAAACATTAGATCTAAGAATTTGTCAGTTGTTTTTTTCCTAAACAAATTAGAAACTTTTTAATGAATTTTTTCCTGAGGTAGCATTCAAGTTTGTGAAAAATCCGCGAAAACCCACACTCAAGACACCACCAACAAAAATCTATTCCATATATCAAAAATTCAACAGACAAATTTTTTAGTATTACCTCTTCTCTTCATTCTGTGAAAATTTCATGAAGATTGGATGAAAAATGGTGGAGTTATTTTAAAAAAATACAGATCTAGAGAAAAGTAGCGTTTTGAGAAAACGGCGATAAAAAAAAAAACTAACTTTATGAGGAAATGGCGGTTACAAACATGCCCGATATGGGGACGGTTTTGGGGGGTTCTTATGCGATGAAATAGTTGTAAGAGAGGCTGAGGAAGCTAAAAATGCCTACAACTCAAATTCCATAATTTTGAGCCGAATTTTGACTTTGTAGCCCCCCCCCCCCCCCTAAACCCCATATCCATGTGAGCCCAGAGCGGTGCAGAGGGTCAGAGGGTGCACAGAATTCTACACTTAGTGTAGAATTCTGTGAGTGGGTGTGAAATATCACCAGTGCGTGTAAAAGAGTTCGAACGTGGCGCTTCAGCTCGGAAATTTTCCTGGGTAGCCAGAGGTGTGAAATTAATTTGACCAATGCCTGCCGGCAGAGTGGTCTTATGACCAGTCGATGTGAATTTATTGAATCCTCGTTAAAAATATACGTACATGTATACATTACGTTAGGAGTGGCACTAGCTGACTATGGATTTGACATCGATGGGTGGTGGGGCCAACGCTTACTCTACTAAAGCAAACGTTAGGTGGGGCTAAGACTGGAAACAAAGGAGACTTTTCAATTGTTCAGTTTTTAACGGCCAAACAAAGATCCTGTGAGGTCAAGCACTCTAGTGGCAATGAATACAGGAATGACGCGTGCCGTTATCAGCAAAGAAGCTAGGATATATAGCACTTGAAAGGTGAGAAGTTTTGACCACTGCTTGCCGAAGAGCCGAACATATGACCCTTGATCTAGGCTTTCTCGGTGCCTGAGATGGCCTAGACCTTGATCCCACCGGCTGGGTCTCTGACCCCCCCCCCCCCCCCCCCTTTCTTCCCTCCCCAGATTTCCCAGTACAAAAAAGTAAATAGAAAATGGGAGGGGGGTTTTTGATCTAAAAATATACATAGATTTATTTTCGATTCACTTATATTTTTCCCCCCCCAAAATGGGTCTGGAGTGTAAAGAGAATATTTTCTTAAGATTATATACATATAGACAGAGAAACAGGTAGAGTAGTTTATGTATAGAGGGATAGTAATAAAATAAAAAATAAAAAAAAGAGAAG